AGTCAACTTATAATGTTTTTACAATATGCTTTTAAAAGATATTATACGAGTATAGCTGTAGATTATAAATCACTTTTGCTCGTGTACAATTTGTGCACATTTTCTATATACAAAAATTGCAATTAATCAAATTTATAACATAATTATAATATAAATATTAATGAGATTACAAACTGATTGACTGACTCGTTATGCGCCCACTACTGATGCAAAATCTGATCTGACTTGTGAGCAAAATCTAAACCAACTTTACTTCCTTGTATGTCATTAAAACATCCGTAAATAGTGTAACCAGGTGCAAATTTATGTGATTGCGGTCTATTTACTCAAAATAAATAAATAAATATAAATATAGATAATTATATTATTTATTGAAATTACTATACTTTGTAATTTACACTTTGCATATCAAAATTTATTAAAAAATAAAACAGTGTACAGATAGTGTATATCAAATAGTGTACTCAAATGGTTACTCTATCCGTAATACGTATATATTTTTTATATCCATTTAAAATATAACACAGAATTTCGTCAAAGAATTAATTTCTTAATTATAACAGAATTTTCTTTACAATTCCTGTCCGTAATGCTAATTGAAGAAGAATTAAGTAATAATAAGTTTGCATTAGTTTTTCTTCTTTCTCGGAGCGCATGTATGGATACGTATGTCATGTGTGAAGAGTGTCTGACGGGAGACAGAGAGTGAGAGCAGTGGTGAACAGAGTTAGCAGTCATTGGCGTACAACACGACTAAACTGTAGTCCACAGCACAACACCAATTGCTTACGGTTTATACAAATTTGATGATTACATCTCTCCTTAACGCTAATGTGATGCTAAAGCAGTTATTGTGTGTTTTAATGGCTTTGTTTGCATCAAGAGATACAGTAATCTACAAATGAAAACAAAATACCTGTTCAGACACTCAGCCAACACCTCATTGGCATTAATTATCGCCAATATTGGCCTCATTCTGCAACTGTGCTTGGTCAGATGTCTGGCTGACGAGCAAACAGGTAAAACATTTTTTGTTGTAATTTAAAGTTTATAGAAAATGAGTTTTTATCTATAATTTTATCCTCATTTCAATTATCATTATTAGTGTTGTTTTGAGGAAAAACTTACTTAAATTTATATAAACGAAGTTATCTCGAGTTGTAATTTAATTTTCTTCATTACATTACATATAATTGGGTTTTTGTTTAAATATTTATTTTTACACCACTATTATATACAGTATAATCTTAGATAAATTTCTGAACAAATAATTATTGTATAAAAAATTATGGTGAAAATACTTGAATTGAGCGGATATTTTTCAGATACGATATCCTTAACACCTTAACGAGCATTCAATTGAAGGCAAATATAATACTCGCCAGAAATGTTACTTCCTTTCAATACATAGCTATTTATGTGATAAAACTTTTTCATTCAAAAACCATATATTCTCTGACACTTTATTTGACGCTATTTTTACATTCATATAACAATATGCGAGTCATTTGTTGTGTTGTCTTCTGTTGTTTTTTGGTTATTTGCGGACAAATCGTATTTATTCAGTGATTTGTCGCATACTTTAACCCAAAAGACATTTGTTTTAGTAATAAGTTTTGCGAATACTTTATTTCACTTTCACTATTCGTATTGAGTAATGTGTTTACGTGTTTGTTCTCAATGAATGCCATATATCCAAACATTTTGCTAACAAAGCATATAATCAATGTATTATTTTGGAAATTTAATATTATAATCTTATATTATCTGTAATTAAGGTATAGTCTACGCCAGAGATGAGCACTCGTGTAAAGTTTCACAAAAAATACAATATTTACCATTGAATTTACACGAGTGCTTAACACTGGTCTACTGTAGAGTCTTGAAAACAACTCTATTCTTAACCATTTATAGATATTTATAAATCCATTGACCAGTTTTATATAAAACCTTTATTTAATTCCCAAATATAACAATACGAAAAACATTAAACTTATATTTCTTTCCGGGAAAATAACTAGTGGTCTATTTAGAGGATATCTTTATCCAATTTGATGGGTTATATATTCGGTAAATATAGTATATTCGTCCCAAATGATCATGAATTATGCACTTTTATATCTCTCCTTCCTTTTAGCAAAATAGAAATCTCCCTCTTTTTATGCCATTTATTCGACTCTTTATTAGAAATCGATTCAAACAAATGGTTAGGAATTTTTAGAAACTGAATTTTAGACCCAAAGGGTTTAAAATGATTTATTATATTATTATTATTATTAACAATATTTTTCTGTGAACTGTCCAATTTCCTAAATATTAAGTATAAAATATATTATAATATTTTGTATAATAATAATAAATAATTTACTATAATGTAAAAGTTAAACATATTGTTACTTTTTAAATGTAAAGTTTATAGTTTATAAATTTTAATAAAATCCAATTGAATTAAATTGATTATTAAACAGTCTATAAGTATTGTATTTCAGAAAGTTTTATATAAGTATTTTGTTGAAACGGATGTATTGTATTTCAATTTTAAATTTCAATAGTAAATAATATTTAAATTAGATGGAAAAATAAGTAAAATTGTTGAGATAAACATTATATTTTAAATTTAAAAACATCGTTTAAAATATAAAGCTAAAATTTTTTTTATCTAAAGTGAAATTTAAATGTTTTTATTCCTCTCCCGCTATCCTTGTGGTCAAAAATATAGTTTGATATTATATTAAACAATAAGATAACGATATAAACTATTTTGGCGATAAGTATAACAAATCACTATTGATTTATCATGTAACTTCTACACAATTAACGGGACAGTTATTATGATTTAATTTTTATCAAAGCAATTGATGTAGTTAAAAGAAATTATATGAGATTAGTGAGTATTTTTCAAGTTTAACTTTATGCAAAAATATAATTTCTATATCGTTTAATTAAAAAAGGCGGACTTCTTAAGACAATAGTTTCTAAATTAATGTAGGCACATTTAGTAAATCAATGAAAATTCAATGGATATTTTTCCAAAATATTTTTTTACCAAAATGTATACCATTTTTATGATAGGTTAGGGATGTTTGAGTGAATAAATTATAATCAAATCTTAATATAAATCTTGACTTTAATTCTTAAAATAATCATAATTTAATAAATTTTCGTCTAAATTAACACTAATTGTTTAATTATTATACCTTTAAAATAATGTGCCAAAGCAAATTTTTACATAATCACCTTAAAAAGTCCACAATTTTTGACCACAATTCAGCATGTAATAATGTGGTTTATAAGATCGTTATTAAAATTAAACTAGGCTAAATACTCATTAATCCTACATAATTTCCTTTAAATCCATTGATTACTTTTGATAGAAATTAAATCCTAAAACTGCCCTATTAATTGTTTAAAAACGTTATAAGTCTATTACTATACATTCAATTCCTTTTGAAATATTCTCAATAGATGTCTAAATTGATATAAATTTTATTTGCACTCAAAATAATCGTTTTATGTAATATCACAAACGTTTATACAATTGACTGAAAAAATAAATTTAAATAAAGATATGGCTATACTTTAGGGTAATTTTATTTTAAAATTCAGTATTTGTGGCGATCACTCACTTTTATTAAATAAGAAATTTAAGTGTAACTCATGTTTGAAATAAAAATATCATATTTTGCTTTTATTTCATTTAAACATTTCTACAAATGTTATATCAAAGTGTTTTTGCAGACAAAGTCAATGTTTTTATGAAACACTAATTAATTGTGGAAATATTTACTACTAATAAAGAATCGAAATATTCTTTTCAATAAATTTTACAAAAAATTGTGTTTTATTTTTATTTCGCTTTTTATAAAATTGAATTTATTTTTGAACATTTGATTAATTGTTATCAAAAGGAAATATTTAAGGAATTTTTTTTTAAATTTTATTATTTATTTATGAATGTTTATAATATAACTATTGAGAAAAACCATTTCCCAGAATAAAAATATAAAATAACATTAATATACAAAATATAACTTATATAAACGTTTAAAACCTCAAACTATAGTTTGTCATTAGACGTAAACAATTGATAGTTTTTTTTAAGAAAATCTATTTTAAATGATACTTAAGGGAGACATAGACTTTAAATGATATATCAATACTTAACAGTCATTAATAGAGATTAAATATTTTCTTTACAAATGATTTGGAAATGAAAACACAATTTAGCAAAAGTCACGAGAAGTAGAGCTAATAAAAGACAAGTCATAGAAATAGACATTGAATTCATTAATCGTAAGATGAATGCTATTTAAGCCGTTGTTTATATCGTATATCTCATAATTACTTTCAGATTTTATTTACAATTACGATAAAATTAGCATTTAATTCGTAAATTACAACATGCACATTTACAATCTACATAATAAGTTATTCTATTATTAATAACACGTGCAATTTCTTGCATTTAGCATGCAAATTTTCTAAGACTAAAAATAATTTAAAGTAATACAAGTTATATAAAATTGATTAATAAAATAATTAATATATTTTGTGATATAATTTCAGTGCAATTGGAGTCAAATTTGGAGACAATTGATGGCCTGGATGTGCAAAACCCGGGATCCAAAAGGACTGAATGCTTTGAGGAGAATGTGGTTAAGTGTAACACTAGTGATGAGGTCTGTTTGCATCCCCAGTCTATATGTGACGGCATATCCGACTGTCCCAACGGCTACGACGAGAGCGTACAACTCTGTGGTGAGTCCTCTCATACATAACAACCCTATCATTCATTTCTGTTATAATTTGATACTATTTTCGTTTGGAAAAAAATGTCACTTACTTTTGATGAATGAGTTTTTTTAATGCAAAATATTTATAGGTTTAAGTTTTATTATTTTGCATTAAAATAATTTATTTTATTTAATGCCTAATATTAGGCGTTAATTATAGAGTGAATACCAAAAGAAATCGCATTAATTATTGAATTTTTTAACCAAATTAATGATCCGTTCAATAAGTTTGTGTATAATTTACTAAAAGCGAGTTCTAGTTTACATCTAATGAAAGTATTTTAACATAACATTATTAGCTTTGGATTACATTAATCCTAATTCTTAAACAAATTCCCATTAGGATGTTGTTGTGTTGTCATACTATGTTGTTGTGATGTTAATTGAATTTTCTAACTAGCCTAATTTCAATTTGATTAAATATTTATGTTTATTTCTTGTTTATCTAGATTTAAAAATTATATTCAAAACACAATATATTGTATTATAATCACATAATTTAACAACATTTTACTAAAATTATACTATTTATTCAAAAATTATTTTGTATTAGAAATTAATTAATTCATTAATCATGTGAATGTTGTTATAGTTTGTTATCTGAGAACTATTTTTCACAACAAAAGTGTTGTTTTGATGTCAAATCAATCCATTATATTCTGAATTAAAGAATTCAGTATTTAATTAATACTTTCATTTGTCTTTTGACGTCAATAGTGGTTGTATTTAGATATACATTACTTAAGCTAATGCTATACTAAACGGACATTTATTTTGTTTTTGGCATTCAATATAACATTTTATAAACTTTTTTTTGCAAAAACAACGGATTTTATGGCAATTGTTGGATAAAAAGTGAAATTTATATAAAAGCTTATAAAACATTGACATTCAGACGTTACAAATATTATGATTGGTTCAAGAATTGCTCAAATGTATGTTATATTGCCATTAAAATCAATATTTGATCCAAAAATATCTAAAGTTATAATTGAATTTATGAAATATTTAACAATTTATGCAAAAACAAGAAATATTAAATTATTAATACTTAAATAGATTTTTAAAAATAAATCATCAATAAGTAAATGAGAAAAAATATATATGTTATATATTGTAATCTATATACAATATAATTTTAAATATATAACTAAAAACTGCTTATTAGTAATAACTTATTAATATTTAAAATTTTAAAATAATATTTAAACTTTTAAAATTTAAAAGTTACTAATAAGTTATTACGAAATAAAATGTAGATGTATCATATTTTATTATATTTTAATTAGATAATTAGTGCTTTTAAAACTATTATTAATATTTAAAATTAATTGCTAAATACATATTAAAACTTATAATGGATTAGTTAATAAGTTAAATCTAAACTGTAATAACCTGCAAAGGACTTTGACTTATAAATAGATTTTAAAGATAGAAATCAAACATTTCAGTAATTATGACTTAAAACATTCTGGTTAATTGTTAATTTAATAAACAGATAATATATTGATTTTATAAGCTTTAATTGTATTAATATCTTCTACTAAAATATATAGACTTACAGTACTATTGAAATTTACAGTTGAAAATACTGTATTACAAAATATGGATCAATATTATTTTTGTCTTTGTGTTACATAAGCTCTTCAATATTTCTGCTATATTTTTCAATTTATTCATTAAAATATTTAATTCAATTTAATTCAATAATAGCACGGATTGTACTTTATATAAAATATGGGCTGAATTTATCCATCAATTACCTCCTGAAGAGTGGGAGACCTTTTCAATTCAATGACCAATTGGTGTAAATTAATTAAAAATTAGACATTTTTACTCGAACCTCCCTTGAAGAAACCCTCTGGCTATGCATCTGCCCGTTTCTTATGGAGAGGTTGCACTGTATTTAAAATTAATTGCTAAATACATATTAAAACTTATAATGGATTAGTTAATAAGTTAAATCTAAACTGTAATAACCTGCAAAGGACTTTGACTTATAAATAGATTTTAAATATAGAAATCAAACATTTCAGTAATTATGACTTAAAACATTATGGTTAATTGTTAATTTAATAAACAGATAATATATTGATTTTATAAGCTTTAATTGTATTAATACCTTCTACTAAAATATATAGACTTACAGTACTATTGAAATTTACAGTTGAAAATATTACAAAATATATAAATAGATCAATATTATAGATTATATTATAGATTATATTATATATTATAGATCAATATTATTTTTGCCTTTGTGTTACATAAGCTCTTCAATATTTCTGCTATATTTTCAAATTTATTCATTAAAAATATTTAATTCAATTTAATTCAATAATAGCACGGATTGTACTTTATATAAAATATGGGCTGAATTTATCCATCAATTACCTCCTGAAGAGTGGGAGACCTTTTCAATTCAATGACCAATTGGTGCACAACTCATAACATTACTATAAATATCAAAAATACATTACAGAATACATAATATTCTAGTAAATAATATTCATTAAATCTAATGATAAATTGAATGCTATATTAAATTGAATGCTTGTGTTTTAGTCGGCGATTCTGTTAAACAAATTTTATTTTAAAAACATTTAAACATTGAATTAGATTTAGATATGGCTTTTGTTAGAGATAAAAACTTAAGAGATTAGAGATTAAAAGTTTGATCTTTAGAGATTAAATATTTGCAAAATACAATTTAATTTAAACAAAATAAAGGTCATAGACATTAGACTTATGTTTTCTTATACAGTATTATGTTCAAAGAAATCCAATAAAGATGAAATAAAAACTGTTTAATAAAATATATATTCAATGAAAAAATAAATTTGTATTATTTTGGAAATATTCGGTCATTTCTTTGATCAAAAATTGACGATAAATTAAGCGTAACTCTGAATCAATGCATTTATGTATTAAAATATAACCTTTTACTACATTATCTAATATTTTGTGCATTTGCTTGAATACAAATTCAATAATTTAATATTCAATTATTGGCATTTGAGCCTTAAATTGTGATGTTTGACAAATGTATGGAAATATATGCGGTGTGTTGTATACGGTTAAAGTTGGCGGCCATCCAAATACAGTATACCCTATAAATACCTGATTTAAATAAGAGAAATTTGTATGATTTCTATAATTTGTTACACAAATTGTCAATTATTTTGTTATTAATCATTATTTTCTATACATTCATATTGAATAAGTCTAGGAATAAAGTGCTCTAACAGTTAGTCCACACAAACCCCAAAACAATGAACATATTTTGGGCTCAAATTACGTGCAATTACGAGAAAAATAATAATATTGAAATGTACCTGATCCTAATATAGCAGGTATTTTCCAATTTATATAATTATTAAGATAGTATATAATCAACAAAATTATGGATTGAAATATTTTCCGTCGAGATTTAAGTGAAACTCGAGATAATGTAATTAGACTCGCGTTTTATGATAATTATTTTGAATCAAAAATATATTTATCATTTAATGAAAGTGTGTTTTCATTTCAATAATTAGTAGATAAGAGTGTTTTCGCACAGAATGTGTAAAAACAGTTAAACATACGAAACCATAAATGAATAATACATTACATTAATGTATTTGGTTTTGCGAAATGTATAACCATTTAATGGTTGATCGCCAAAGAGAGGATCGTATGAGCCGTTTATTTTAAGGCAATCCATCATTGGATCCGTTTTAATGCAATTGAAAATCACAGCTAAGCCTCGAAAATAGTTTTTAAGTGTAATTTCGATAAATATAATCTACAAAACAATCCTTTGGCTTACGATTGAACTGTTGAAAAAAAATTGAAGAACAATTATGACAAGTGATTGATATATTTCAAAGTTACCAAAATATTTCATATATTTGTATCCTTCAAAAATTCTTTACAAAAAGTGATTATTTTAAACGCAATTTTTTTATATATGAAATATTATATATCATAGATTAGTGAGAATCCCCAATACCTATATAATAGTAGAATATAAAGTCGCAAATAATATGAGAGCTGAAATGATTGGTGACTTAAATTGTCTCATATTATTGAATACAATGTCAGAACATTCACTTTACTTCGCTTTTAATGATATTATTACATAAAATTGAACATGGATAAATACACATCTATCCTACAAAATTTCTTTTGATTCCAGTGATTACTTCTTATAATAAAGTTACCTTGAACAAATTTCCCAAATTTTGGTAATCAACGATATATCATAGATTAGTGAGAATCTCCAATACCTATATAATAGTAGAATATAAAGTCGCAAATAATATGAGAGCTGAAATGATTGGTGACTTAAATTGTCTCATATTATTGAATACAATGTCAGAACATTCACTTTACTTCGCTTTTAATGAATCAATTCATGCATTGCTTTTAAATATAGCATTGAATGTAAGTCTGAATTTAGTTTAAGTTTTTTGAATCTCTTTTTCTCTCATTTAAACCGCTGCCAAAAGATTCACTTCATTTGAGTGACTTGTTTCGCAATTCATCCTCACATTTATTAGTCTCTCTCTCTCTCTCTCTCTCTCTCTCTCTCTCTCTCAATGGTATTCACAAAGTTTTAGTCAATTAGCAACTATTATACTGTATTCTGTCATTAGAGTATGTTTTGACATAAAATAGATACCAATCTATTAGTCAAAAGAATAAATTTGCTTTTAAAAAGAATAACACAATTTGTTAACAAGAATTATATCAATAAAAAACACTTCATCTAAATATAAGACAGTATTCTGTCGGCGAAAGACAAAAAATGTCTCATTTGTAATATCTTTCTCCCATTGTTTTACAAATGTATATTCAATTTAAAGCATTTAAAAATAGAAATTCACACTTTTGTATATAAAAGATTTACATTAAATGTTTTATAATAATGTAGATTCGGTTGAATTTATAAACGATAAATGTGTTTTACAACATTCATATAACTTATACAGTAATATAAT